ACTCCCACAAAAATAACAATTTTATTGTTCAACTAAAACTTTAATCTCACAAAATTACACAGATCATGTGAATATTTTTTTTTCTACACTATCAAAACTGAAGTACAATGCTTAACTAAGACACACAATTCATATTACTCCAATTTTCTAAAAGCAAATGCTTCATGTTGAAACACTGACATCATGCAGTTAATTTTTTTTTTTTGGGGGGGGGGGGTCGGGGCACAGTAAGAAAACAAACTACTTTTGTTATTAGTGGTGGGTTAACAATAATAATACAAAGAATAAGCATGGTGACTTTTACTTTAAATATCACTGAATTTTTACTGTTATTTTGATTAAATTATTGGATTCCAAAACAGACATATATGTTGACAAGTTTTAACCAAATGTATATATATAGATTTGGAATTATTAAAACAGTGCATGTAAAACATCTGGAAGGGGAGGGGGGTCGTCCATGCCCACAATGGCCTGTAAGCATGATGCCACCATGTTGAACAAAGGTCATTCTAACATTCTAGAATGCTTATTTCCATGCTTCACAGATTACGGTGAAAATGATCTTAACAATACTTGGACTAACTTTTGTTTCCCCGTTTTTAAAAACAGATAAGCCACAAGTTCGTCCAGTTGAAATGAAGTTACTAAATTAAATTAATTAATCAGTGGATAAGTACGATGATGATTATTGCCTACCAATGATTTATTTGCTTTTCAGGCTGTCATCTTCCAGTAGATCCTCTGGATAGTATAATCCTGTAGAAGCACAAGCTAGAAAAAGACAAAACTCAATACAAGTTTGATTATAAGAGTTTTAAAATTACAAAGTTATTAACTATATAAAAAATTCACTAAATTCCACCAACATACACTTAAAAAGTAAAATCCAACTTTGTGAACCATATTAAAAAAACAAGTGAAATGTGCACTATTAACACATGCAGTTTTGACTTCCAACAGGTACCAACGATGCAAATTTTATACACACTTCGACAAGCTAATGATTTTTGCTGTGGCACTGGGCATAAATCCACCATCTACAATCTCTATTGCAACAAAATTATTATGACTTTGAATTATCAGAACATAAAATTTGTATGGCATATAATCCGCATTCCTACAGAACTACATTAAAGTTACATAGATATCTTAACTTGAAACTCCAATGACAACTTTTAGTTTCCAAGGTAACAGTAATAATAACTTGCTATAACCTTGACCTCATATTTACAGAGAATATTGGATTACGCTTTTGATTACTGTAACACCTTATTATTGAATTGTTTCACTGATTATTGACAAATATTATATTGACACACGTGCAAACTACAGCAAACTTCCAATCGTGCTTTTATAAGCTGGGCATAATGGTAATAAAACACACCAACGTATATTCGATCATTACGACTACAAAACTATTCACAGATCTAACAATTAGGACCCATGTTTTGGAAACAGTTGAAAAACACAATAAAGAAGAAGAGAAATATTTTCCATATATCTCCGATACACCAAACATCATGTCGTGCAATCAGTGTTTACATTAAACCCACGCAAACGGGAAGTTTTTACTATATGAATACAATGCTTATCAATATATTTTTAGAAATTTATTATGGATATTTACTTTCGTTTTTTTTAAGTTACTAAAATTGTGGGGTCATAATGGAAAAAGTACCAAAACAGATATAAGTATAGAAATATTTACATGAATAATATGACCATCAGAACTACTCACAGATCTAACAGTAACAGCCTATTTTTTCAAAACACTACAAACATCTTTTTCATAGCCTTGTATCTGTGATACATCAAATGTTTCTATAAATCTTCCTAGGTTCTGGTTTTGATTTGTTGCTGTGCCAACTTTAAGCATCAAGATAATCTATAACTTTTTATTTTATGCATACAGAGAACACTGAATAATACTTTTTAATACTCTAATAATAATAATACACAATTATTGTTACAGGCATAGACTTACTAGGGATTTAGTCGGGGCAGGGGGAGGCTGTAAAAATTTTTGCCCACATTAGGTGATATTTCCTGCTTCTGATTTTGCCTGAATGGCAGTATGTATTGTAAGTTGGAGGGCACCCCCCTCATACATCTATAATTACAGGTCACTGAAAAATAGAAAGTATAAATCCTCACCCCCCCAACCAATGCTGCTACAGACTGCTATAACAGATAAACATTTATTCAAATATTTTGGCCATCAGAACTACACACAGATCTAACAATTACAGCCTATCTTTTGGAAACACAGTTGAAAAACACTACAAAACAACAACAAAAAAATCTATATTCTGGCTTCTACAGCATTTTTAAATTTTAGATAACCAAAATATATACACTTTTTTTTTTAAATCTCCTATCACCATGAATTGTGAGATTCCATGCATATTGAACTACATTTTTAAAGCATAAAATGTTCAATGAAAACTGATATAATTCAGCCAGTAACTGTTGGAGATAATAAGCCAACACTACTTAGGGTAAATAAACATTCAATGTATGTTTATACAGTTTCACACACACTTCTCTGTATTTATCCATCTGTGTACATGGTTACACAGTCCTTAGAAGCCCAACTTCTATGAACAAAGTAGATACATGTAAACATAATTGATTTACATAAGGTTAGACTCACTCACCAAAACAATATGGGCACATGCACGCCTGACTTACCCATCCACCAAAAGATATTGGTATATGGTCTTACAATTTTTTTTTTATTCTGTAGTGTAAGGTGACAATGTATATTATTCAAAGAAAATTCATCAAATACCAGTTATTTAATATCATATCAAGAAACAGTTTTTGATTTGCTTAAGTTTAGTTCTGATAAATATTAGGCTGGGTAGCAACTACTGGCAAAGAATTGGTGAATTAAAAAAATTGTCTTTCTGTCTATTTTACTTATAATTCCCAAATCAGCATACCTTTTCATAAATAAATTTGCTACTGTAAGTAATACCAATGCTGTTAGCCCAATGGAAATGGAATCCTGTTTGACTATGAGCTCTTGAAACCATCCTCTTTGTAACTCGCTGCTGATCTTACAGAACAAACTCTGGAACAGTGGAAGACTACAAAGCTAATTACTGGCCTGATTTAAATTAATGAGGGAAGACTGTTATTTCCTACAAGTTTTAAATAAAATAAGTGCAATTATACAGCCGGTTATTTTTTGACGCTGAGCCCGGCCTTAGCCTAGGCTATTCTCTTCTGTCCTTTAAAGTTTTAAGTTTAAAAACAGTAGGTCTGCTTTCTACACTCAAACTTTATACTTTCACGAAAACTGAAAACCTTAGCTAAGAAGCCTACACTTCTTTAAAATTCCGAATTAAAAGTCTTCTGGAATGACACAAGCCAACCACAAATTAAACGGTGGCTCAAAGAGTGTCTTTAAAGAAGCAGCACTAATTATTTCACTATCACTAAAAATTCTAACCCTAACTCTTTCGATCGTCAAACAATCTTCTTGTGTTTATAAACAAACCTAGTTCGATGTGGGAATTTAACAATGAGAACACGCCAATAACACAACGCTTGTATCCAGCCAATCAGAATGCTATGTTTTTCCAGCATTATTGACGTCATAACTATTTGACAAGAGAAAAACAGAACTCTAGGTACTTGTACACGTGTAACGATCGGAAGGTGACCTCTACATAGTATGTACTGTAGGTTATTTATAGATAAACGCTGGTATCTACGCGGCGTAATACATCTTATACATTTAAAGTAAATTTCCATTAAAAAAAAAAATTTCTAGTATGTGTTTGTAATATCGAGTTGTTTTTCAGAATTTGTATTGCATGCATTTTGACAATAAAGTTAGAAAAAAGGTCCTTTACTCTCCACTCAATGATAAAAAAAATAAAGTTTTTTATTTCATCCAACGTTTCGCCATTTCGACTTCATCAGGGCTAGTAGTATAAGACCTGTTTGGTTTAATAATATACGTTAACTTATTAGTGATATAGCTCCAAACAACATATCAAGTTTACTTAAAATAACAATATGTTTTATCAGCATGCAGTAAATAACCAGGTAGCAGTTTACTGTTTACTTAGGTACAAGTGCTATCTCCTACTAATAATTATGCATGTTTGACCGCAACATTTCGCTCCAATCAAACCGTACTTTATTGTATTAAGACAGCGTAAATTATAAATGAAAGAGAAGTTTTATTTCATAACGCATGTTTAAAATGTGTTGCTGTAAGCTATGTTTTTTGTTTTAATATAGATGTGTTAGCTAGACGGAGTTTTGACGTCACGACATAAACACGCTATACTTCAACGTCTGGAACTTTCTTTAAAGTATAGGGAACGATTTCAGCAGTATAAAAAATGTGAATTATGTTCAGTGTTCCATTTTCCAGAATATATAGCTTTAGCTTTAGAATATCCTAGATTTTCTACAGATTATTGTTACGTCTCCGTTTGTTAATTAATTTTCCGTAACTTCGTTCCGACGAAACTTTAGCGACACAAGTCCTTACTTAATAAAACTGGTTTATTCTTCCCGAATATAACTTTACGATACACTTAATTTCAACAATCACGCTAAAACAAACGCTATAACAACGAACGTGCTCAATAATACTCTCTGATTGCAGATCAATTACTCACTGTCTACACACACATTCTATTATTCCGTCACGTTGTCACCCTCTTTTATATACCAGGTTATCCTATATCTAGTAAATGCTAGAGCATTCGCCAAGGTACAGGATAGTTCTAGAAACGTGGCGTGACACTAGTCATGTGACCTCGCTGACGCAACATTATAAAAGACGTCTAGAACTAAGTATTTTGCCATTTTACATTAAAACAATACAAAATAAAGGCGGCATAAATCGTTTATATCAGAAAGGATTTAAAACATAAAATAACACATTTGTAGTTTAAATGTTAGTTAGAAACAATAGTTACACCAGAGGTGTAGTAAATATTTTCTACCTCCTACTTAGCAAACTTTTTTGAAAATTTTTTGTACATACTTTGTATGTGATATCTGTAGTTGTAATATAGAACATTTATTAAGGAAGTAGATAAGTTTCTTCCACAATAGTTACCTATTGTACTCGCTCATTCAACTATGATATGACCTGCTCTCTCTTGTGGGAAACATTTCTGTAAAGCTGATACCTTTTAAGTGTAAATAGTGATAACTTCCACTGTCAAGTCAGATGATATCATGGGGATACTTTCTCCCTTATTTTCTTTATGGGAATGCCCAACAGTGGATTGAGTAATGCAAATACCTCGAGAAAGAATATTGTTACAATAACAGAAGTCACGCGACACTGGGAGCATGCGCGCTGGAGTCTCTCGAAGGATCATGAATTTGCCTACCAGCTCAAGTGTGTTCTAGATGCCCTCTTTTTTAGTATATATATATAAGCCTGGCAAAGAAAGCCAGTGGCAGATAGATAATTGAGTGAAGCAAACAGTAGGTACCGTAAGTAAAGTGTGTGAATCACTGTGACTTATAGCGTGTGTTATAAAGGTTGTTAAGTTTAAAGTGACTGTGGAAATTCTGTGTATTACAAAAAAAGTTGTATCCCGAAAGAATAAACTGGTTTAATCAAGAAATGACTTGTATCACTGAAGTTCCTCGGAAAGAATTTTTATCGGAAATTATCAAACAAGCAGATACGTAACAAATTGGTGTCAGAGAGTGGGATGAAAGAAAAAAATGATGGAAGCGAGAAGTGGCAAATCAAACAACGACTTAGCAGATTTGATGTCAGTAATACAAGAATAGCAAAAGAAACATGAAGAACGAGAAAATAAACAAGAAAAGAGACTACAGCAAAGGTTGGAGGAGAAAGAAAAGAAACAAGAAGAACGAGAAAAGAAACAAGAGGAGAGATTACAACAGTTGTTGGAGGAAAAAGAAAGGAAAAAAAGAACAAGAAGAGAGACTCCAGCAGTGGTTGGAGGAGAAAGAAAAGAAACAAGAAGAGAGACTACAGCAGTGGCAAAAAAACCAGCACCAGTGGCAACTCAAACAAGAAAAGAAACAGGGAGAAAGTCTCCAACAGTTGAGAGAAAGCCAGCATACATAAATGG